TTTGGAGTCACTTAAAGGCAGCAAAGCTAATTTCTTTTAAGAATATTTCTGCAAATGTATTGATCTACTGGAAGGGATGAGCGTGTACGTTCACAACGCAAAGAAGTCCCCAAGGAAAGGTGTTAAGACCGAAACTAAGATTTCTGATAATAGTCACGATCACGACCAATCAAGACGACTTTCATCTTCATCAACGCATGTCAAACCGGTCTTAATCCGTACGGTCACGGATTGGGATCGAATAAGGAATCCATATTCAGAATAACAGATAAAATCATACTAGTTCTTTCGAAGAAGCATATACAAGACACAGCCGTCGCTTACGCCTGAACTCCTGTGTCGAAACAATCCCATAACAGGAAGGTGGGAACTGGATGCCGTCTTGTGGACGACCGATGTCGCCGTGGAAGAAATGCTTACGTGTTCCACCGCCCGAGGCCTGGCTAGCCAGGATGACCAGAAATAAGTGCATCGTTACCAGGACAGTCTCACTTGATGCCAAAGCTTCACAGACGAAGATGTTAATGCTACTTACCGTTGTCCTAGCTGTGATGACACAATGCTGTCTCCTCGTCTCATTTAGTGGGAGATTCACACATAGGAGCCTCTCGTTCATTCGGAGCCATATTGGAGGTGACTAGTCAACTGTTTGTCTAGGTTTGGTCCCGACTGACGAATTACAGTCTGTTAATTAGTGGCGGGACCCCCGAGAAGAAGTAGACAACGCGGGGACATTGGTTACTTGGAAGTGTTCAATAATTTGATAATTCGGATTAGATTACTTTATGACGCCATGTACCAGAACTTATCAAAAGCAGCTTGAAATACACTTGACCAGTATTTAGATTATTTACATGAGAAACGACTAGTTGATTTGCAAAATTTTAAATGAATTGTTTTAAAACAATTTGGGAGTAATGTTTGCTGGAATTCTGCTCAGTGGTTCCATGTTATTACCATTATGGCCTGTTCAACTGACGACTGGGTGTAAAACTTTGCTCTGTAACAGTAGTTGTCAGGAACACCCGATGTCAGATGAGAAGCTGGAGATAAGGCTGTTTAAGTAGTTGTCTCATGATCTCTTCATTAAGGACGCGTTAGGAGGCACGAACTGCCAGTGAGTTATAGAAACATCAATAGGTTAACATGAAACCATCCAGCGAGTCCGCCGGGACAAGACGGTGTTTACATCCACCATAGACAGGTGTTTGTTCAGAACTCCACTATATTAATCTCCCATTAGAGACGACTGCCTTCAGATGTTCCTGGAGAAGGACCTGAAGGGCACCAAGTGGCTAGACCTGGGCCATGCAGACTCAACCATCGGCCCTGACTAAGGATACAGGAATCATAGTTTCATTTCACTGGGACTAGATATTGCTTTGTCAGAATGATGAGCCATGTTTCCAATAAGATGGTTGGATCCCCAATATGGTGGTTCATCAAAATGGCCACAACCATCTACCACAAGGCTAGCATAAATAGGAATCCCAATGCGTGTGTCTGCGCGCACGTGCGTGCGTGTTTCGGCGTGTGTCTGCCAGGGGGCACGGACGATAAGTCCGATAGAACATCTGCAACATCTGCCGCCATCTTTTATTTCTCTGATTGCTTTCTGCGTGTTCCTCACTATGGCTATTATTCATTTGCCACGCTAACTTACTGAAATTAAATAAAACACCACCAGAACACCAGACACATGAAACACATTCAGATATCAAATAATTCTAGACTTTACTGTAAATACAAATTACCTCGCTTGCACACATTTCGGAGTCATATGGAATGAGTCCAACAACAATGTGGTTCATACTGTTCCCTCAGAGAAGGACCAATGGTAAGGAAGGAAGCGAACACCTCACATACAACAAGACACGGAATTGCCTGTATAGGTTGGTAAGGGGAGCAAGGTACAGGAAATGTTTAACACTAAACCACGTATCGTAGATTAATTAACGAAAAGTAATAGCCCAACCATGCTGTACTGACGTATCATATCTGGAACACTAACCGTATAGAAGACGTACGCTTCAAATTCTATACCTTATTGATATTACGTCAACGGGACGAACTTAGCATGCGCTATAATCAATCATGGGAAAGGAAGAGTATTAAAGGATGCATAGGGATATATGTACATCTCGAAGTAGGCAGATACCTGCTCCAGTGCGGCCATTTAATTAGTCTTCACGTCGGCGAGGGGAGACAAATGCGGTTGATTTTCTAACCTTGTTTCAGAATACTTGAAAAGGTTCAACATATTTTTAAACTTTGATTTGTTTAGATTAATCTGTTTTGTGTAATTATATTGATATTATCACGATGGGAAGATTTCTTAGGCGTATGACTATGAGGATGACAAAGAATACATGGCACGATCACACTAACAGGTGTCTGTGATGTGAACAGAATATTGTATTTACTTCGATCAGGCTGTGAGTAAGGCTCTTACGAAATTAAGATTTCATTCAATACAAGTAAAAATTCGAACATTATTAGCTGATAAACGTTTCGACATTTGTTGCATTGACTGTAGGTTTCCAGATTTACCAAGGTCCCGATCAAAGAGGGTTCGCTATATTCAAACGCAATGAGACTAAGCCGCTGCCACGTCTGATTAAGTCTTCCGTGATACAAATCGTTTATTCCTATGTTCAGAAGTAGAATGCTGTATACATATAGAATACAGCTTGAATTGTCCCAGAAATTCCTTTGTCCCTCGCTATCTGATATGTGTCGCTGTCCCTGATGTACCTCGTCGGTGCACCAGATGGCGTTGTTACCTCGCCTCCACACTTGTGTGTCACCCGAGGATGAGCCAATACGGTGGAACTGCACCATATAACACAATGCTGAAAATATACAGGTGTCACCACCGGTGTGAGGAGGGAGACGGCCTTATAGCGAGTAAGGGTGTCGCATGCGTGGGATATACTGTTAAGGGCTTTAATAGGAAATTGATACATCGCTTACATTAGAAACTTTTTCAGCCGTGAGAAAAATAGTACATAACACACCATTTTAAACATCGGGATCGTTTCGTGTGGTATGTATAACTAATTAATCTATCAACGGTATCACGGATGCTTAAAAAAATCAGATGTTTTTTATTCCAGCCAGTCGAATAGACTGATTACTGAAATGTATTCGAGGCATAAGGGCTCTTGTTTTGTTAACTGTTTGCCAAATATTGTTTTATTTCATATAAGCAGTGGATTTGACCAACAAATGTGAACTCCAGCGTTTATGTTTTAACAGCGTGTGAGTATTGTTTTAGGCCGCTTTTAACACTATTTCGGGGGGGGGGGAACAAGAAATCGCTTCACACATGTGGGAATCGAACCCGGGTTTTTGGCGTGTCGTCTGCTTTGACTTCAAGGCTTCCACAGACAAATAGTTCCCTTGCCGGCGTGGTACAAGCACCGTCTCATACAGAGATGATACAATTTCCATTTATGCAAAACGTAGCATTCGATCCTTTCTTAAGCTTGTTTACAAGAACCGACACTTCTTCTTCCACAGACTTAAAATCTACGGTTGCGTTTCAACCATGACTCTAGGTATAGCCAGAACCAGTTTAGTAATTGTAACGTCAGCAACAACAGAAACCATTTGAGCAGTAAGCGCAGACTAGGAACCGTCGTATGTCTAAAGGTCAGCTCACTAGTCTCGTATCACCCACGACATTACATTACAACCGCGGCTACGCAGACGGCGGTGTATGTATTTACTGTTGCAGACGCTAGCATTTATCGCATAACGAATGTTAAGGGATTCCTGGAGACGTGGCAAGATTGGCGGATACCGCGCGACTCCACGAGACTGTCCACCTCGAGACGTATGATCGCCTATACATATGTATTGGGACCTTGCACAGAGTGGAGTGATGTATGCCGTCTCGTGTTCTATGTTGACTTCTTGTATCCATGCTTGTACAGCTGTATCCATGCTTGTGGATTCTCTATGTTTGTGCTCAACTTCGAGCATATTCATTTAATCATGCAAAATAACATCAACAGTACTTGATGTTTAAAACAACCTATACCATTCCTGAAATTCTTGCAATACAAACATCCCCGAACTATATGTTGATGTTATATATTCAGATTCAATGTTTTCCATTTTTTCATGTCAAAATTCGATCCTATTGTGGTTCAGATGTCATGCCAACACTGCATTGTGAAGATAAACACGAAGGTCGATAGGTTGTGGAATATAGCTTATTCTGTATAGTCCCAACAAAACTATCTGTCTTCATACTATCAATCACATGTTCGTCAGTGCCCAATTATCGACACAGAGCTGTAATATCGCCGACCTTGTCAAATAACAAACGGAATCCTTCTTATACAAATTTAGTCGTCAAAGGGGTGTATTTTTGATAATAATAAATTATGACACGTCAACTAATATAACCGTGTCACGGAACTTCATGTTGCGTGGATGTCTCAATTATACAATTTGGAAGATTGTAGAGCTTGTGTTGTTGGTATGTTGTCTAAAAACAGGTAGGTGAGTAAACATGGTCGGGCATCCATCTGTTAGTAGAGCATCTGAGGCACCACTCTTCCCTGTGGCTGAGACGTGAATGATCTGATGGTCGTTGGTTCAAATCCTAGATGACCAGTCAGTGACATACTCTTTCCCGTGAGTTTCAATGAAGTGGTAAGCATCAAACACATTTGCACCTTCCATGCACATTAAGCCGACACGCTGGAACACAGTGTTAATATGGACAACCTCTTCCTCTGCAGTGTCGTGCAAATTGTCATTGGCTAACACTGAAACCAGGACTTCTTCTACATCTTCGTCAATCTACCCAACGCTGAAGACTCTGACTCTCCAGCTTCTAACAATGATACTCAAAGAAGCTGAAGACTCTTCCTGACCAATGCGAGACCAACGGGTCTAACGTTAGTCTGAATATTTGAAATACCCTATAAATGCAAAACGTCAAACTAAGAGCACCTGTTTGTCTCATTTCCCAACCAATGTCTTACCTTTTCGCGATGTGGCGTTCTGTCCGTTGGGGGTGCTGTCGGCTTGTGGGGAGGGTAACGGGGAGGGTTCCCGGCTCAGCTCACTGTCAGCGCTGGACATGCTCTCCTGGGAACAAAAGCGATAATACAGTTTGTTGAAGCGTACGTAATCCCAATTCAACGTCATCTCATTGTCGTATTTGCCGCATCGTGTTCAATAAACTTTTTTTTCAATTCCCGATTTTTTGTCCCGCCAGGACAAGGTGCTTCTACGAACCTAATACAGGAGGAACTTTGGACATGGTTGCGTTACAGTAATTAGTTTCACTATATCTGTTTTCCGATTTTTTTTCAAAATGTTTACTCTCGTTTCAGTTTTGTTGTTCAGATACGTTTCATATTCATGATTGGCACTAATCCCAAATTTGGTGCCTAGATCGTGCCAACGTAATGAAAAAGGTTTCCATAGAAACAGTTATCTGTGACTGATGATGGAGTAATCACTGATCTCGAAAAAGTCACGAACTTGTTGAACTCCTATCGGACAAAGCACAAGTGTATTAGAGCCAAATTAACAAGAATGATGGCTCAAGTTTGTGACCTATGTCCACAGAAGACCACCAGCCGTTGTGGTCTTCAAATTAACGTTTTCACTGTTATCTGAATACGTCGAGAGGACGGGAGGCCAGTTTAACAGACTTCGGGTCTGGAAATCTACAGCCTGGCCATCACTCTTGCCAGAATTTATATGGATGCACAGCTGGGTCGCAGGACGCACCAGCGTCCGTATCGACCAGGGAGAATGTATGGAAACCTGTACCTGACGCCGCCTCACTGTAGCTGTGTTCGCGTCGCGATGGAGTAGTGTGACCCTCTCGTTTACTCCTGACACCCTATATTACTGTCTGAAACACGAGGCAGAAGCGAATCCTACTCCGAGAAAATTGGATTGGCAAAACTTGTTTACCACGAGTCCAAAAACAAATTTGCGCATCTCAAATGTTTGAAGTCCTTTCCCCTTGCTCTGATTTCTTCAGAAGTCGACATTGGGGACTTCAAGAATAGACAGCAAGAAACCAAAGGGTTTCATTGCCATGGTGATTCCCCAACTAGCGTTCTTTGGGGGAACCACGAGAAATGAACAATCAGAAAAGTGAAAAAAGGAAAAAGAAACTTTTTAGAAATTAAATTTTGAAAGAAAACTGAAAATTTCAAGGCATCTGACTCCGTTTGCTTCACCAACAGACTTAGTCGCGTCATCTAATTAGTTTTTAAATAGTAGACCTGCTTATTCGGGCGTCTCTTAGTTTTATTTAATTTCCTCTTTGAAAATCGCAATTAACTACTTGACATGTTAGATTGTTTAATACTGACAGGCCTGAAACAAAACAATAAGACAGCCTGACACGACACAGAGCAACAATAGAAATTGCAAAGTTAATTGTCTTAAATTTAAAAATAATTTAAGTTTAAACGTCACAGCCGTCCCATTCACTTATGTGACGACGTTGTGACAGGAGCGGTTCTCTGCGCTTCTTAAAAACACAATGCGGGCATTCTCATTATCTTTCAACTCGTTTTGACTAAAAAGTCCAAAGAACAATTAAATAATCAATATTTATGTCCTCGACGTTGAACTTATGTTTGAAAATATCGTCAGCTACGACGTTCACCTTCACACTCAACGTCGATTTCCACATAAAATGGATTGTAATTGTAATATGACACAACATAACTAGCAACTATGGATTTCCAAAATCACGCATCTACCTTCACTGAAAGTTAGTTATTGTATGTCACACACGAAAGGACAACACTGACATTTCAAAATACGTCTCAAGGGCGATGGAGAAGCATAGCTAATCGCCCTGAAAATTTATATGTAATATCATACAAATGACACATCTATAACAAGCATTAAATAACAACCACATAGAAGTAGTGCTGTGTACAGAATATATGTATTTTCGTTACGTAGAGTGACACTGACTATTTGTCAAAACATATCTGTGAGTAAAACTACCGCAAATCACGAACGTCCTCTTGAAACGACAGTTCATTATTTGATTACGACCATAAGGTCCTTAATGGTTAAAAAGGCAAAAAAGACATATTGGTTTGGAGTCACTGTATTTTGGGGAGGTTTATTCGTGGCATGGTTCAAACCTCTTTTTGTGAGTAAATTTTCATGTTTTCAATTGCATGTTGATCCCGCTTAAATGTTTGTAATGTCCATGGTACTCTTTAGGTGCACAATTTTAGTATCAAGTTTCCAACTCTAACTAAAATGCTAGTAGCCCATTGGTCGTCTGACAGATACAACTGCTTTCAACGAAACCAGTGTTTACTATCGCTGTGAAGAGCGCAAGTTTCATTGTTTTACATTACTGCTCCATTGCTATTTACTCTGTTAGACAACATATGCAAATAAAATTAGAGTATAACCGATACACCATAGTCCTCATCTTCAGCCAGTAACAACATACACAACGTTGGAAATGACGTACCCGCACAAACCACCTCGGGCAGTAGAATAGTTAGTAGTAATATAATATATTAATAGGTCGTAATGGCCTGCCAAAGTATCAATAAGAGAATATACTTTATGTATATTACATGAGGCAACAGTTACGAAGTTTGGCCTACAGTAAGATCGCTAGCCGCACTTATAATAGGCTTGAATATAATCGGGGCCCATTGGTGACCCAGTCCTTAAACCATAATGATATTTCACAGAATACTTTCCATTAAGACATCAATCAACACATGCGATATCAAACACTGAGATCAAATGCAGTCAACACTGAATATCAACTGCAGTCAACAATAAGGTCAACTATAACCAATACTAAGGTCATTTACTATCAACACTGAGGTCAACTGCAACCAACATTAAGGTCATCCACTGTCAACACTGAGGTCAACTGCAACCAACATTAAGGTCATCTACAATCAACACTGAGGTCAACTATAACCAACACAAAGGTCATTTACTATCAACACTGAGGTCAACTGCAACCAACATTAAGGTCATCTACAATCAACACTGAGGTCAACTATAACCAACACAAAGGTCATTTACTATCAACACTGAGGTCAACTGCAACCAACATTAAGGTCATCTACTGTCAACACTGAGGTCAACTACAACCAACATTAAGGTCATCTACAATCAACACTGAGGTCAACTATAACCAACATTAAGGTCATCTACTGTCAACACTGAGGTCAACTACAACCAACATTAAGGTCATCTACTGTCAACACTGAGGTCAACTACAACCAACATTAAGGTCATCTACTGTCAACACTGAGGTCAACTACAACCAACAGTAACGTCATCTACACCAACAGTAACTTCAACTACAATCAACACTGAGGTCATCTACAATCAACAGAAAGGTCAACAACAACCAGCACTAAAGTCAAATGCAACCGACACTGAGGTCAACTACAATCAACACTGAGGTCATCTACAATCAACACTAAGGTCAACTACCAACAACACAATGGTCAACAACAGCTAACACAATGTTAACGAACAAAAGGTCATCTACAAACAACACTAAGGTAAACTAACACTAAGGTCAACTACAATCAACATTCAAGTCAACTACTTAACGATATATGAGAACATCTGAGCACTATGAACTTTCTCGTGCCATTTATTTTGTTTTGTTATTGGCTGTTTATCATTGGTTTACTTAACAAACAACCCATTTGAAACCAACAAAATGTCATGACATAAACACACAAAACCGACCAATTTTATATAATGTCCACAAAACTAAATGTCCCTGTATCATAGGTACATATGCACTGAAAGCAATTAACTTTCTTTCTTTGACGTGACTACACCACAGGGATGTACATTCTACAATATTAACATTAATTCAGACACTACCTCATGTAAGCTATAAGCTTTGAGAGTCTGTAGGGTAGCCTAGTGGTTAAAGCGTGCGCTCGTCACGACGAAGACCCGGGTTCGATTCCCCACATGGGTACAATGTATGAAACCCATTTCTGGTGTCCCCCGCCGTGATATTGCAGTAATATTGCTAAAAACGGCGTAAACCTAAACTCACTCACTCACTCACTATAAACTTTGACTTGTTACTGTAAACGTGCACAAATACCTGAACATAATTAATCTACTCCGACGTGCCTTGTAGCCAAGTAAGCGTTCCTTTCTTTCTCACACTCTTTTTCACGTTGAACACTGGGACCATCCTTTGATATGTACAACCATTGACTTGTGCATCAAGACAACTGTCACACAGTAGCAGGATTTCCTCTACATCTTGGTCCTGTGGTTTTCAACGCTCTGCAAGTCTAACAGTTGGCCTTGTCTGACGTATGGCGCCCGGGTCTTTGATGTTAGGCGGCCTGTTTTTTTACAGACTGGTTTATGACTTATGATATCATATTAAACGTGACAAAAACGCATTATCAGGGATTATATTAACATGACAAAACGAAAACCTTCATTATTCATAACTTTTGAACTATAATACCTACTTAGGCGCTTTGAAGCGTACGACCTTTGCTCTTCGACATACTAATTATTATCGATTTAAAATATTAAATGATCTCATTGATGACTTATTAATTAACGAAACCGAATTGATGTAATCCATTTCGTGTGGTAACGCTACACAGTTTGCATCTTTGTCGTGTAACTAGTTGTGACAAATGGTGCAATGATTTTGCATTGAGTGTTGTCATACAGAAACATCGCCCATCTTGTTGAGAGGTTGTTCAGTATTCAAGACAACAGTTTCAGAGGCATAAAGTCAAATGGACCAAAGTAAACAATGATTACCACTAACACATATACAAACATATGCGAATGAGTCATATTAGCTGGATCATAACAAAATAACATATTATCATGGAGAAACAGAACGAAAGATTTTCAGCTCCATTATGGACAATACAGAGTCTTCCTACACGTAAATTATTAATGATATTCAGGATGTATATTGATACTTAGTATTTCAACGGTTTCTGGTTAACATTGACTTACTATCTGAATCAAAATTTGCTTTAATATGTAGGTGGAGCGTACCTAAATAATTACGTGTCTGTCGGGGAACTCCTCGTGGATGCTTGCCACTGATTACATTT